TCTTCCAAGGTGAGGCTTAATCCCCCTTTTTGAAAGTAGGCTAGACGTAGTGGCTGTCCTAGAATATGGATGGCAAGGGGGAAATGGTAACTTGGTAGCTGAGAAACCTGGTAGACAGGACACTAACCTGGTGTTCAAGGTTCATCTCCCCAGTGGTGTTGTGGATCCCTGGTAGGATGTGGTAAGGCTACTGCCATCTCTAACATAAGACAGACCTATAGTATGTGGACAGTGCTCTTCACAAGTGTCAATCAAGGTCAAAACCAAGGACAGAAATAGATAGAAGGAGACATGGCAACTATGCTTTCATTGCCTGGATTAGACTGGTAAGATTTCGTCGGGAGTATAATTAATAGTTCTTTGGCTTTGACAGGACCCGTGGTGATGGAGAGGACAGCATTCATGGAAACAGGGAAGGGACATGGGGGCTTGTGCCATCTTCCCAGTTTCCCTGTAAATCTACTTACTCCAAAATAAGGTTTTAAAAGACCCATAATCTGACAACAGATAACTAGATATTGATGATGATCCTCACCAAGCAATCATTTAATTACTTTTGAAATATGAAACCGGTTTTTGTCATTTCACTAGGATAGCCATCCAAAATGGTAGTCTTTCAATATTTTAACTGTAGCTAGGGAGACAAAACCTGAGTTGTATATTCACAGATCAGGTGAGAGAGAAAATTTTATGGAAACTAACTTTATGTACTATAGAGTCTTGTTACGGACTAAATTTTTCTGATAATCTACGACCCTTAACTGGGCTGCTTGTATTTCTATTTCTATTTTTCTAGGGTTAGTTTGCAATAATCACTTTGAAATTCAGCTACCTTATGTGTGTCTCTAAAAATCTCTTTCCCTTTATAAGAAATAAAATGGGAGCTCAGTCCTAGGGAAACATGCTGTAGTTAAGAGTAATATTCGTTTCCAATTTGTTGGCCATCATAAATTACCATTTTTCAATAAAGATTGTATAGAAATTCAAGCCATCAAATTGCATTAAATTAATGCTCAGCATTTTCCATTATAAAATTTTGAGTTTACATTGTTTTCAACAGGAAGCTTAGAAAACCTCATACTCCCTCAATTTTGGGTAAAAACAAACAGCAATGTCATACACACTTTGCACAAACCACTGTTTGACCTAATTTAATTACCAAACACCTGGCCACTGGTCTATCTTGGGTGATTTTTTTCCCCCCACAGCTTCATTAAGGAATACTCCAGTACTACTTTTTTAATATTTGGTTTGTGTAGGTCACAGATTTGGTTCTGCAGGAAGCACTGAAATGGTGTTTAGGATACAGGATGTTTATTAAGGAATGCCCTTCAATCAGCAACTGTGGAAGAAAAGGAAGTGGGATGGAGCCGAGGGAGGATGTGGGAAGCAATGCAGGTCCAAAGGCCCCACCCAGTCAGCTCAGGGAACAGAGCTAAAAACGGGGCCCCTCAAGAGTTGTGTTCCTCAGTTAAAAATAGAGCTACCCTATGGCTCAGCAATTGCACTGCTGGGGATTTACCCCGAAGATACGGATGCAGTAAAAGATCGAGACACCTGCACCCAAATGTTTATAGCAGCAATGTCCACAATAGCCAAACTGGAATCTATCAAAAGATAAGTGGATAAAGAAGCTGTGGTCTATGTATTCAATGGAATATTACTCAGCCGTTAGAAATGACAAATACCCACCACTTGCTTCAATGTGGATGGAACTGGAGGATATTATGCTGAGTGAAGTTAAGTCAATTGGAGAAGGACAAACATATGGTTTCATTCATACAGGGAATATAAAAAATAGTGAAAGGGATTATAGGGCGAAAGAGAGAAAATGAGTAGGAAGTATCAGTGAGGGTGACAGCATGAGAGACTCCTAACTCTGGAATACGAACAAGGGGTCGTACAAGGGGAGGGGGGGCAAGGGGATAGGGTAACTGGGTGACAGGCACTGAGGGGGGGCATTTGATGGGATGAGCACTGGGTGTTACATTATATGTTGGCAAATTGAACTCCAAAAAAAAAAAGTTGTGCTGACGGGTAGGAGGCATGGCCCTGAGGAGGCCACTCTCTAGCAGGTAAAATCACTGCAGAAGCCACGATAACTGAAGGCTGCTCAATGAGAAGCATCCAGGGCCTTTCCTCTAGGCATCTGTTCATGCATTTCCACAGCTGCCACAATACATATTTTTCACAATAGGGGTTGACTTAAAAAAAGGTTACGTTGGTGATTGTCATAATCATTAGAATCAGCACTTACTGAAATTATTGCACTTTCACTTTCAGTACATTTTTAATAGCTACAAAATCCATCCTGTTTTCATAAAGCTGCCTTCTTATAGGAAAGGTGGATTCAAATCATGACTTTGGCTCTCAACAGCCAGACCACTCAGTACCTATAAATGAAAGGTATGGGCCCGGGAGGAGGAGTGCCTTTAAAGTGTGGTCCCACTGCACCCTCCCAGGGCACAAGCCTAGCCCAAAGGGGCAGATCCTTTCTTCCTCCAAAAGGGTGAGCAATGCCCCCCACCCTTTATTCTGGAAAGTGGTGAGGAGAGTGCTCCTCAATAGCTACAAAATGCATCGTCAAAGCTCACCAGTTTCATGTTCACATTTTTTTTTTAAAGATTTTATTTATTCATGAGAGACGGGGGCGGTGGGGAGGGAGAGAGGCAGAGACACAGGCAGAGGGAGAAGCAGGCTCCATGCAGGAGCCCGACGTGGGACTCGATCCCAGGACTCCAGAATCGCACCCTGGGCCAAAGGCAGGTGCTAGACCGCTGAGCCACCCAGGGATCCCCCCATGTTCACATTTTAAAATTACTGGAGAAGTAGAATTTGAAAATGTTCCTTTAGCAGTGGAAAAAAAAAAACACCTACTATATTCAATTTATGAAAGTAGTTCAGAGTTTAAAAACTATTGTTGATTTGTACTCAATCAGGTATCCATCCTGAAACTTATGGGGTTCATTTTATTTAAAGGAGTTAGTCACTGAAGTTAGAATTACTGAATTTGAGTTTTGGAAACCAATTTTTAATTCCTTCAATTAAAAAAAAATAATCAAACTTCTTCCAGTCTGATATAAAGCCCTTGCAATTGGCTGTGGCAAGCTTCACCATTTGTAAAGTATGTAATTTTTTCTTAAGAAAAAAACTATCAGGGGATCCCTGGGTGGTGCAGCGGTTTGGCGCCTGCCTTTGGCCCAGGGCGCGATCCTGGAGGCCTGGGATCGAATCCCACGTCGGGCTCCTGGTACATGGAGCCTGCTTCTCCCTCTGCCTGTGTCTCTGCCTCTCTCTCTCTCTCTCTCTCTCTGTGTGACTATCATAAATAAATAAAAATTAAAAAAAAAAAGATAATATAAAAGAAAAAAACTATCAGGGGCACCTGGGTGGTTCAGCTAAGCAACCGACTTGGTTTCAACTCAGGTTGTGATCTTGGGTGTCACTGGATCAAGCTCTGTGTCTGGTTACGTGCCTAATGCAGTCTGCTTGGGGCTCGCTCTCCCTCTCCCTCTGCTCCTACACCTTGCGCTTGCACATGCACATGCTCTGCCTCCCTCTCTCAAATCTTTTTTAAAAAAAGTATTCAAGGGATCCCTGGGTGGCTCAGCAGTTTAGTGCCTGCCTTTGGCCCAGGGCGTGATCCTGGAGTCCCAGGATCTCCCTCTGTCTCTCTCTCTCTCTCTCTCTCTGTGTGTGTGTGTGTGTGTTTATCATGAATAAATAAAATCTTTAAAAAACAATAACTAAAAAAATAAAAAATAAAAAAGTATTCAATTGATGGCAGCTACAAAATTTGATCCAGAGAAAGTTCAGAGTAAACATCAGCAAAGACAACCACTCTCAATTCAAAATTCTGTTCTCCAGTCCTTTCCCTGGGGGGGGGCCACTGCTCATCTGTCATTGTAATACAGATCTTCTTCATGCACAGAATTCAATAAGGCAGCAAATAACACTGCAGCAGAAAAGAAAGACCTTGTATATAGACTGGAAATAATCCATTTCATTTAGTTGCTTTATACTGTTAAACTGAAAAGGTATTTACTATGGAGAGTAAAACAAAAACATTTTATTGCATTCGGGATTTAAGATTTCAACAATGACCCCAAAGGTTTATGTGATGTAGCAATTTGTTAAGAAGCAAGCTAAGAAGCAAGCCTAAAATGCAAGAAGCAAGCCTAGATGTTATCTTTAAGAATGCAGAATTCTGAAAAAGTTCTTTTGGAAAAACAGCTCTATATAGAAAGCCAACTGCTCTATAAATAACTTTTGTTCTTTATTTATAGACTCAGGAAGAGCTGAAATATTTATATCACTTTCCTAGGGCTGCCATAACAAAGAACTGGATGGCTTAGAACAACAGAAATTTATTCTCTCAGATTTCTGGAGGGCAGAAATCTAGAATCCAGGTGTCCGCAGGATCACCCCTTGAGACTCTGGCTAGAATCCCCTCCTTGCCTCTTTCTGGCTTCTGGTGGTGGCTCTTACTTCACTCCAACCTTTGACCTGCTGTCACACAGGGCTCTCCCTGTGTACCTGTCTTTACATGGTGTTTTCCTCTTGTAAAGACACCAGTCATATCGGAGAGGACACCAGTCATATTGGAGAGGACACAGTTCACCCCATAACAAAGCTCATTTATGCTTTTCAGTTATGTTAAAATATATTTTATAGGAATAATTATTACATGGTAACATGGTTTCTCAAATTTGGGGATAAAGAATTTGTGACAGTCCAAAGGACATTTGTTATAATTTTGTTAGGTACACAATTCCAAAAGAACGTCAAACTTTAAATATTTCAACTTAATTCAGTTTAGTACAAATAGCACTTTCCAGTTTTAGAGAAATACTAACTTCATATCCTAAGCTTTAATTGTCAATGGCACTTTTATAATAGTTAACTTATAACTCCCATTTGCCATGATAGTCTAGCTTATTCCGAGAAATAAACCAAAATTATAAGGGCAGGAAACACTGCAAATACTCTTTCTCACATGATACTCAACATAAAATATTTATTCAACCACATTCAAAAAGCTGATGATAGAAACTTTGGCAGCTTTCAAGAAACACTGATTATTCCATAATTAAATCTCAACGCATCAGTTAACACTTGGGCACTTCCTCTTGCAGTTAGCATTGCATTAGGTGCTTAAAGACAACCAGTCTGACTCAATAAACTTTACAAATAGACATTTAATACTTATAATATTATTCACGGAGTCCTTGGCAGAGTTGCATTTTGAGGTTTCTATTGCTGAGAAATTTGAGGTTTGTGTTGTCTCTTTTTCAGTCCCAAAAGCTCTGTTTTGAGTTCTCCAGGTTTTGGTGGAATTTCAGGTATTGTCTATAAAAAAAAAAAAAAAAAAAGCATAGATGCCAGGGCTTTCTTAGACTATAATATTATATAGTGTGACCTGAAAGAAAATAAAAAGTTTTCTTAAAAAAAGAACAAAAAGTCCCTGTGCACTCAATGATAAATCCTTATTAGGAGAGCCTGTGGCCCATAACTTCTTCACACCCCAAAAAGAAACCCCATACCCACCAGCTGTCACTTCCATTTCCATACAATGCTCCCCCACACCAAGCCACTGCCCTAGGCAACCATTCATCTACTTAGTATCTTGACAGCTTTGCCTATTCTGAACATTATATTTAAACAGAATCATAGAACACATGGTTTGTGTGACTAGTTTATTTCACTTTGCATGTTTTCATGTTTGCCCCATATTGTCAAATATATCTGTACTTCACTTCCTTTTAGGACAGAATAATATTTCATTATAAGGATAGTGTGGCTCAATCCCAGGTCCCAGGATCATGACCTAAGCCAAAGGCAGATGTTTAACCAACTGAGCCCTGGTACAAGTTTCTGTATGGACGTGTTTTCATTTCTCTTGGGTACAAACCTAAATGTGGAATCGCTAAGTCCTATGACTCTATGTTGAACTGTCTGAGGAACTGCCAGACTGTTTTTTGTTGTTGTTTTTTTAAAATATTTTATTTATGTATTCATGGGAGACAGAGAGAGAGGCAGAGACATAGGCAGAGGGAGAAGCAGGCTCTTTGCAGGGAGCTCGATGCGGGACTCGATCCCAGGACCCCGGGATCACAGCCTGAGCCAAAGACAGATGCTCAACTGCAGAGCCACCAGGCGTCCCTGCCAGACTGTATCCCAAAGCAGCTGCACCATTTTACGTTCCCAACAGCATCAGTTATGAGGGTTCCAATTTCTCTATATCCTCACCGACACTCGTCATGAGATGTTTGGGTTTTCTAATTACAGCCATTCCAGCGGTGATGAAGTGGTCTTATTGTGGTTTTGATTTGCATTTCTTTGATGGCTAAGGATACAGAGTATCTTTTCATGTGCTTATTGTCTGCAAAGGTGACTTCGGAACAAAGACATCAAGGAGGATGAGAAAACCAGTATGCAGATACACCTAGGAGTGTTTCAGGCAGAATGAATCACAGATGCAGAGGACCGAAGGCAGGAGTGTGCCCTATGTGCAAGGAAAAGTAGGTGGTCAACGCAGCTGGTATAAAGTGTTCAACGAGAGGTTAGGAAGGGATGAGGACAGGAGAAACAGGGGTGCACAGATGCAAAATCCCTGGAGAATTCTGAACAGAAGAACGACATGCGACTCCAGCATAAAAGGACAGTGGCTCTGTCGAGAAAAGACTGCAAGGGTGGAAGGCAAAAGACAGGTCAGAGAGCTGTTGCAGAAGATGAGGCGAGAGGTGACTGGCAGTGGCCTGAACTGGGCAGTAGCAACCGGCGTGGTAAAAAGCAGTGAGATTCTGGATGAAGTTTTCAGATTAAGCCAATGGGGTTTGCTGTTATGTGCAGTAGGAGAGGGGAGGTAAAGAAGACTCCTTGGCTCTGGCCTAACAAGAACAAGAGAGTCACAGAGTCGTCATCAAGACCTCAAGAAAAGTAGGTCTGCTGGAGGAAGCCCAGTGGAACATGCTCACTGCACATCCAAGTGGAACGGCTCGTAATGAGTCAGAGGCAAACCTATCAGCAATCAGCTTAACTGTGAGGTCCTGAGGAAAGGGACATCATAATCTCCACTTTCTTACAACCCTATGGAATGCCCCTCGTTATAAAAGGGAGGCAAAAACTGTGCTGAATGAATAACTCAACAGACTTTGCTTGGGACCCTTATAAGCTCATAAGACTAGAGAAATAAAATCTTTACGCAGATTAATTTATATAAAACTGCAAGATTATTTCGGCATAATTTCATTCATATCAGAAAGCTTCAATAGCTTTTCGATGCCTGAAGTTCAAACACCCTGATCTGGTTCATTTTACTCTTTTATCTCCTAACAACTAATTAATCCTAAAGAAATAAAATAGTTTAGGAAAGAATGTAGGGTTTGGGATCGAGGTCCTAGGAGAGGCAGGGAGCTAAGAGATGTGCTTCCCAGCACAATTCTCATTTTGAAGTGAAAATGACTTTCTAAAAATATTTTAGTGATGAGAACTGGAATAAAAAGCCAGAGTAACTTATCTGGACCATCTCCTATCTTAAAACTAGTCCTAGGATTTTGACATTCCAATACCCTTAGTACAGAAAGAATGTAGCTTGTTTCAAATACATTGAACTGTGGACACTAATTAATTTAGAAGAGATCTTTCCCCAGGTCACAAAAGGAAATTATCTGAAGTCACAAAGCCCTATAAAATACAGAATACTATATTGTATACCTGAAACTAATGTAACACTATGTGTTGACTAACTGGAATCAAAATTAAAACTTTAATAAAAAATAAAATACAATAGCATGTTTCAAATTTCTATAAAGTATATACAACCATCCACTTAAACACACCTAGGCACACATTTGGAGTAGTGCGAATTGCCAATATAGTACACAGCTAAAATGACAATTCAACTTTTATTGAAAGAAAGCACTTTTATTTACTAAATATACTAAATTTAAAATCAAATTTTAAAAGACTGGTAAGTTTACTGACATCAAAAGTTAACAATGTCAGCAGAGGTTCTAAATAGCAGCTGGCATGTATGTGGGTATGTCTGGAGACAACCAAAAATGAACACTTTAAAATGAGTCCTAATGATGTGAGACACAGGGCAGAAGAAAAGTTACATGTCCTCACTACCGCAGCCCACCACCAAGTCCTTCAAACAGGCAAACGGACCTCCCTCCAGGGGCTCAGCCGCCCAGAGGCTGATCCCTTGCTGAGGGCAAAGGTGATCTCAGCCCAAGCCCTAGGACCTGGTGAGTCTATTCTGACGTAGAAAACCTCCTTTGGAAACTTTCTTTATCTCTACACCCCCAAGATCCATGTTGGCAACCACCCCCAAGCATAAGGCCCACTGATATACATCTAGGGGTCTCATGACTGAGTTTTTACAAAACAGTAATAAATGATCTTTCTTAACAATAGCTGGGCTCCTAGGGAATCCTGGAAACCTTGTCTCCAAAACACCCGGGAGGCTTCCGCTCTCCATACCCACCTCCTAACCTGAGAGTCTACACTGGGCCCTCCCCGTGACCCTGGTGCAGCTCTTCCTGTCCGTGAGTCCTGTCCGGGTGTTCTAACAAAACCACTTTTCTACCAAAGACATCTCAAGAATTCTTTCTTGGCTGTTGGCTTCGAGCCCTAAGGTCTTCCTACATCACTGAGACTGCATTTTTTGCCTAACTATATCTTCAATAGTAAGATTATACATTAAGGAAATAGAACCAGTCAAAGTAGCGCAAAAGTAAACAAAAATGCAAAGGGAAGCTCAAGCAAAAGCACACTTTGTATTCCAGGACAGAACACCTGCCTTGAGTCCTCTTCTCCATTCCTATCCTGAGTAGCTGAGCTGGACAATCAGAAAAAGCATCCTTACTGTTGCTCCCTTAAGATAGCGCTGAGCACACCCTCCGGGCAGCCATCACGCCTCTTCTGCTCTGGACTCCACCCAGACCTTCACGCCACCTTAAAGGCTGAAAGAAGCCAACACAGACCATTGGTTGTTACAACAGTGACAGTCGTTGCTAGAACAATACCAGCAGACGCAAGTAAAGAACATAAATTCCTTAAATGTTAGTAAAGCACCTGGCATCCTACACATAGCCAGCCAGCCCTGGCCTTCAGGTCCCTCCAGAAGCACCCCACCACTGATGTCACTGCCCAATCAGGACGAAGCGGCCTGAGACATGTCAGTATGGTCCTCCTACTAGAACTCTGGCTTCATGCTGCCTCTTCCACGGTTGAAGTAGCTGCTGGTAACAACCTTGCATGTTCCTACTTATAATGAGATGGGTGAATCAAAGGTCAATTTCTGGGGCACCTGGGTGACTCAGTGAAGCGACTGCCTTCAGCTCAGGTCATGATCCTGGAGTCCTTGGGATCGAGCCCTGCATCAGGCTCCCGCTCCTCAGAGAACCTGCTTCTCCCTCTCCCTCTGTTCCCCCTGCCTGCTCTGTCAAATAAATAAATAAAATCTTTAAAAAAAGAAGGTCCATTTCCCAGGGACAAATCACAGGCATTCCTATCTCCATAATGCCTGCCTGATGCCTATTCCTCAGGAGTTAAGGACTCAACTGTATTTCTGTGGAAAGCCCGTCTCGGTCTCCACTACATATCCATGATACGTCCCTAGAATTCAAAAGAGAAGCAGTCTCGGCTGGTAAGAAAGAGCTATTTCAGCATTGTTTGTACAAAAACTAGATACCACCAAAATATCAATATGGGATTAATATATGGAACATCCATACTATGAAATGCTATTCAATGGTCAGAAAGAAAGAAGGCTATCGAGAGAAACATGTATCTATTCAGATAGGTGTCAACCAAAACAAGCTGCTTACAAAGAACTGTGCACACTCAACTCCTGTTTACATGTATCTCAACTACAGCAAAAGTCTGCAAGTACACACCAACCAAAAAATGGGAGCTACGTTTGGGGAACAGGCTGGAGAAGTAGCGGGTGTGAGGGACTTTCACATTCTACTCCACAGGCTTGAACTCAATGTGAAGGTTCAAGGCTGTTGTACCACCTCATTAACAGGATCAAAAAAGAGAAACATTAGGGATCCCTGGGTGGCGCAGCGGTTTGGCGCCTGCCTTTGGCCCAGGGCACGATCCTGGAGACCCGGGATCGAGTCCCGCGTCGGGGCTCCCGGTGCATGGAGCCTGCTTCTCCCTCTGCCTGTGTCTCTGCCTCTCTCTCTCTCTCTGTGACTATCATAAATAAATAAAAATTAAAAAAAAAAAAAAGAGAAACATTAAACAGAAAGCTTGGGTTTCAAATCCCCAGGAAGCTGGGTGATCCTGGGAAATCACCTTCCATCTTCCGAATCTGAGTTTCCTGATCTGAAAACAAGAAGAAACACCTCCAGAACCGTAGCTGCCAGTTAACAGAAACTAGAAACACAGGTGCCTGGTTCTCTGTGTGACCTGAGTCCAGGCAAAGGTGACTGTTCCCTACACCGGGCTCCAGACCATTCTAGTCATACCTGTAAAGTAACACCGAGCACACGCTTGTAATCATTTCCACTGTACTTCCTAGCCTCCACCTTCACAAAACCACAACTCCTCAAATGAACTCTAATTCTCCGTTCTAATTTAATATACACTTAAGGGATCCCTGGGTGGCGCAGCGGTTTGGCGCCTGCCTTTGGCCCAGGGCGCGATCCTGGAGACCCGGGATTGAATCCCACGTCGGGCTCCCGGTGCATGGAGCCTGCTTCTCCCTCTGCCTGTGTCTCTGCCTCTCTCTCCCTCTCTGTGTGACTATCATAAATAAATAAAAATAATTAAAAAAAAAATATATATATATATACACACTTAAAATGCTAAAAAAAATTTTTTTTTCTTAAAGATGTTATTTATTCATTCATGAGAGACAGAAAGAGAGGGGGGGAGACACAGGCAGAGGGAGAAGCAGGCTCCCTGTAGGGAGCAGACGCGAGACTCCATCCCAGGGCCCAGGACAGGGGAAGGCAGATGGCTCAACTAATGAGCCACGCAGGTGCCCCTAAAATGTTAAAATTAACCTAAATTTCTCCCTCTTTGGAATGCCTGTATTCCCTCGTTCTTCTTCCATCAAATATCTATTGAGCATTTACTATATTCTAAGCTCTTTTTTAGAGATCGAGGGTGAACCGTGCAGGCGCAGTCCCACTAGGAGAGTACATTCTGGTGGAGGAAACAAAGAACCACTAAAGAGACAAAGGAATAAAATACTTGCAAATTGTGAGAAGTCCTCAAGGGACACAAGGAGGAACTCCCTTAGGAGCCGTCCAAAGGACTCTCACTGCGGACAGAGAGCGGAGCAGAGACTTGACGTTTTGAAGTAGCAAACCAACCCAAGCTCTGGGAGGAAAGCATTCCAAGAGGAGAAAAACCCCGGCCTTGAGATGGGGACAGGCTTGACGAGCAAAGAAACAGCAAGGAAAGCGGCGTGGCTGCCACAGTGGGATCGAGGGGTAAAATGGTAGAAGATTAAGGGCAGGCGCGGGCAGGTGGCTGGCCGCCCAAGGGCCGCATGACAGCAGGCCCCGCGCCGCTCGGAACGCAACGGGACGCCGTCATCGGGCCCAGGCTCAGGGCAGACGCGCGTCTAGTCCGGTGTGGGCCGCTGGGCGGGGCCCGGAGAGGCCCCGGGGAGGCGGGAGCGAGGGCCCTGGGGCACTCACCAGGTCCGGCCGGTAGTACCGGTGCACCACCTCGGCGCCGGCGCACATGCTCAGGAGGCTGGCGGCGCACATTTTCAGGTAGGTGGCCCAGGACACGCCCGCGGGCATGGCCGGTGGCTGCGCGGGGGCGTAGGCGGGCGGTGCCAGAGGGCTCCCGTGCCGGGGAGCGGACCGCACGGCGGCAGACGGGCCGGTTCAGGCCCCTGCGTGGTCCCCGCCCCACGCCCCACGCCCCACGCCCCACGCCCCACGGGCGCCCTGACGACAGGCGCCCCCGACTCGCCCGCCGCGGACTTCGCTGGACTCTGCGCGGGGCTGGGCCTGCGGGCTTGCGGGCGGCGCCGGCGAGGCTACTGGAAGGCGATACCGAAAGGCACCCCCGCCCTCCTGACTAGCGGGCCAGGCCGCGCACCGCAGTCAGTCCCCGCTAGCCCCCAGGCCGTCGGAGAGACCGCCACGACGCGGGCACTGGCGTTCGGGGCGGGGCAGAGGGCGGCGGGTCGGAGGGCGACCGGAAGCGCACGCCGGGGTCGCAGGGGACGTGGGCCAGTCCGCGGAACCGGAAGTACGGGCTCGGGCCCCGCCGGACCGGAAGCCGGGGGTGTGCCGGCGCCGGCGGAGACGCAGGACGGGGAGACGGCGACCAGCGGCCAGAGCGGTTCTCAAGCTTTCCGCCTTTTTTCTCCCTGCTTCCTCCCCGCGCTTTCCCGGTCCCAGACACTTGCTGCGATCTTTACTCTCCCTCCGGTGGGGTTTCCCTGGCGGATGTGGAGTTTGGGACTCGGAGCTGGCGAGAGTATGGCCCGTTTGCCCCTCCACACGCACTGGGACCGGGACGTGCTTTGCGTTTTTACCACCTTTTAGGAGCAGGTGGATGTTGGGCGGCCGACCGCTAGGTGCTTGGATGGGGCCCCCTCCCGTCAGTGAAGTCACAGGGACACGCAGGGCTAGGGCGGGGGCCTCGGAATCGGGCTCACAAAAGTCCCGAAAACATGGAGGTAAGAGGCAGCTGCAGGTAAACCAGACCATCTGTCCAGGTGCCAGAGGTGGGTTCTCGTTATAACAGCTACTTGTGACCAACAAAGAATTCCTAGACCCTATAAAGGAAGTATAAGCCATTTAAGGTGTTAATCAAGGAGTCCTGGGCAGCCCGGGTGGCTCAGCGGTTTAGCGCCGCCTTCAGCCCAGGGCATGATCCTGGGGTCCTGGGATCGAGTCCCACGTCGGGCTCCCTGCGTGGAGCCTGCTTCTCCCTCTGCCTGTGTTGTGTCTCTGCCTCTCTCTCTCTCTCTCTCTCTCTCATGAATAAATAAATAAAATCTTAAAAAAAAAAAAAACCAGGAGTCCTTACTCCATGATGGTAACAATCGAGATATTAAGGATTTAGGTTCCCTGGTTGTCATTTGATAAAAGACCCATCCAAGACCCCTCTCAGTCCAGAGAGCTTTTTCCGTATCCTTAAGAAACTCCAGTGGCTTTATTCACGCCCCATTGGGAGCTTCATTCATTCTACGACTTCATGAGACAAGAACTTAGGCTCGGGCTTCCGGCTTCGCTTTGAGATCTGAACCAGGCACACCCGCCCTGCTGTTCCCTTGTGCTATGTGCTGCTGGGATGAAAGAAAACTGAAGTGGGCATTGTTTAATCTATGCGTATTTAGATTGCCATAGGGCTATGGATTGATTTTGTTGAAAGAGTTAACCCAGGACCAAATTCTGAAGCATTATGATTGTATGTATAACATGAATCATGATACACTCAACCTTTTTTTTTAAGATTTTATTTATTTATTCATGAGAGACCAAAAAGAGGCAGAGACACAGGCAGAGGGAGAAGCAGGCTCCATGTAGGGAGCCCGAAGTGGGACTTGATCCCGAAATTTCAAGATCACGCCCTGAGCCAAAGGCAGATGCTCCTCCACTGAGCGCCCCAGGCGTCTGGATACACTCAACTTTTAAACACAGAGGGGATGCCTGGGGAGCTCAGTTAAGCATCTGCCTTCGGCTCAGGGCGTTATCCTGAGGTCCTGGGACCAAGGGCGGATCAAGGGCGGAGGTCCTTAAACACGAAGGTATATTTGACATAAACGACATTCTTGAAATAAACAAATTGACAAGGTTTGACATGTGTATGCCTGTGTCATCACTACAACCAAAATAAGATATCCAGTATACCCAAAATTTCCTTGTTCCTCTAATTCCTCCCTTACTGTCTCCTCTGGATCAACCACTGATCTGCTTTCTGTCACAATAGATAAATTTGCATTTTCTAGAATGATATATAAATGGAATCATGCCATACAGTATGATATTGGTCTGATTTCATGTAGCACAATTATTTTGAGGTTCACATCATTGCATGTCTCTGTAGTTCACTTCTTTTTATTGCTGAGTATAGTTATAACACAATTGGTTTAGCCATTCACCTTTGGCAGACATTTCAGTTTTTCTAATTTGGGACTTATAGGAATAAAACAATTATGAATAGTGAAATTTACCCAAAAGATTCACAAGCCTGTGAACATATGCTTCCATTTCCTTTTTTTTTTTTTTTAAGATTTATTTATTTATTTACTTGAGAGTGCAAGCAAGTGAGCACAGAAGGGACAGAGAATATCCAACCCAGACTCCCACTGAGTGTGGAACCTGACGTAGGGCTCGATTTCACAAACCCTGAGATCAGGACCTGAGCCAAAACCAAGAGTCAGATGCTTAACCAACTGAGCCACCCAAGCACCCCCCGTATGCTTCCATTTCTATCGAATACTTTCCTAGGAGTAGAATGGCTGCAGCATATAGTAAGTAGGTGTATATTTTACTTTTTAAGAAATTGCCAAGCCCTTTTCCAAGGTAGGTATACAGTTTCGTATCCTACCAACAGTTTTAAGAGTTCCAAATCCTCTCCATCCTCTTCCAACACCTGGTCTGGTTAGTCTTTTTAATATTAGGCACTCTGATAGGTTGGCAATGGTGTCTCATGACTAACAATATTGGGAATCCTGTTATATGCTTGTATTTTCTTTGGTGAAGTATCTGTTTAAATCTTTCATCCATTTTTTGTTTTATTATTTTAGTCATCTTTATCTATTATGGATAGAAGTCTTTTATCAGATAGATTGATCTACAAATACTTTCTCCCCGTGTATAGCTTTTTACTTTGTCTTAATAATCTTTTGAAGAGGGATGCCTGGGTGGCTCACTGGTTGAGTGCCTGCCTTTGGCTCAGGGCATGATCCCAGAGTCCCAGGATCGAGTTCTGAGTCCCGCATCAGGCTCCCTGCAAGAAGCCAGCTTCTCCCTCTGCCTGTGTCTCTGCCTCTCTCTTTCTGTGTCTCTCATGAATAAATAAATAAAATCTTTAAAAAAAAAGATTTCAAACATTAACCAAATTCTTGGATTATCTGTGGCAAATGGTTGTTGTTGATGTTGATGTTGATTAAATACCATACTAAAAGTCAGAGGCTATTTTCTAAAAACAATGCAGAAAATAATTTATATTAGGAGAATTCTACCCTTTCTAAAATGTATTTTCTAAGACTTTATATTTAAGTAATCTCTATACTGTCATGGGGCTTGAACTCACAACCCCAAGATCAAGAGTTCCATGTTCCACCCACAGCCAGCCAGGTGCCCCAAGATTATTTTTAAATTATACATTCTTACAAACGAAGAAAGTATGTACTTTTTTTTTAATTCTTGAGATAGAATACATAAGAAATTTCAGAACATCTTTTCAAAAATTTTTAAAATTGAAATTCAATTTAATTAACACATGGTATATTATTAGCTTCAGAGGCAGAATTCAGTGATTCATTAGTTGCATACAACACCCAGAGCTCATTCCATCAAGTGCCCTCTTTAACGTCCATCCCCTAGTTACCCCAGCCCTTCACCCACCTTCCCTCCACCAACCCTGAGTTTGCTTCCTAGAGTTAAAGAGCCTCTTATGGTTCATCTCAGGAGAACATCTTTTTTTTTTTATAAATTTATTTTTTATTGGTGTTCAGTTTACCAACATATAGAATAACACCCAGTGCTCATCCCGTCAAGTGCCCACCTCAGTACCCGTCACCCAGTCACCCTCACCCCCCGCCTACCTCACCTTCCACCACCCCTAGTTCCTTTTCCAGAGTTAGGAGTCTTTCATGTTCTGTCTCCCTTTCTGATATTTCCCACTGATTTTTTTCTCCTTTCCCCTTTATTCCCTTTCACTATTTTTTATATTCCCCAAATGAATGAGACCATATAATGTTTGTCCTTCTCAGGAGAACATCTTTAAGGCAAGATAAGTACCACAAAATATTGGCTTAGCACACCTAAAAAGCAGTGAAGTTGCCTTAAAAAGCTGTTAAATGACAAACTTAATTGAGTAAAGACTCCATTCCACCAAAGAGAAAAATTGTCTTTTCTATCTTTTGAGTTTTCTGCTATGCACCTCAAATCACATTTTATGCAGTGCCCAACTCCCATTCTGATAGTCTATCAGTAATGGGTCCTGTGTCCATGTATCTTGTGTCTGTCTTCTTAGAAGGACACCAGTCATTAGATTCAGGGCCCACTTTAATCCACTATGACTTCCTCTTGACTTGATTACATCTACTATGACCCTATTTTCAAATAAGGCTACATTCACAGATATCAAGTGCACATGAGTTAGGAGACACTAGTTAACTCAGCACAAGCCCTTATCACCTATACAAAAACTTAAAAAATATGTAAGCAAAATTTTAAATGTTAACTGTGAAAAAAATGTTCAAAGGCCCATAAAATTTAAGAATAAGGAAAGTCAGGGGATCTGGGTGGCTCTGCTGGTTGAACATTTGGCTCTTGATTTTGGCTTAGGTCATGATCTCAGGGACATGGGATTGAGTCCTGCATCGGGCTCTGCATTCAGTGGGGAGCCTACTTGAGGATTCTCTTCCTCTGCTCATCCCCTGCTCACTCTAAGATAGATAGATTAATTAATTAATTAATTAATTAAAAATTAAGTGAGTTCTCTGAAGCCTAGAAAACCTTGTATCCTCCCCTAAAATGAATGTTCGTTAAAGCCCCCTGACACATAGATTTTCCTCTAAATCATTTGCTTGACACATGTAGCTATTCCCCCCAGTGACACCACAAACCCCCCATTCTACAAAACATAGGTTAAGGGGGATCCCTGGGTGGCTCAGCAGTTTGGCGCCTGCCTTTGGCCCAGGACGCGATCCTGGAGTCCGGGGATCGAGTCCCACGTTGGGCTCCCGGCGTGGAGCCTGCTTCTCCCTTCTCCTGTGTCTCTGCCTCTCTCTCTCTCTCTCTATCATAAATAAATAAATAAATCTTAAAAAAACAACAACATAGGTTAAGTAGTAAAAACCTGCAATAAAGGGCTGAGTAGATACAGGAGTGTGAACCACAGGCTTCCTAATTTGCTGTCTATCATTTGCAAGAATAAGCCCTATTATAATGACTTTGCAAACTTTTTTTGATTGTGATTCACAGTAAGAAATACTTTTATAACATGGTGATCCTATCTGTACACCTGTACCTATGTAAGTATAAACCAATACTTACCTTTATTACATACAAACACTTTGACACTTATTCTATTTCTTCTTAATGCTTAATTTCAGGACCCACTTGTGGATGAAAATCTATAGTTTGAAAACCCCTCCCCAGTAGCAGACCTTGTTGAAAATATGATGCAACTGAATGACAGAACATTAGCTAGGAAGGAAGCAAGCTCACTAGATTCTTAAAAGGGAGATGAGTATTGGGAAGAAGAGGGAAAAGGTGAAGCGACTTGGCCTTCTTTTTTGTTGTCCTATCATACAAGAACTCTTTGAGGTAGAGATACATCTGGCAACGACAGGAGGACATTCTTCTAGGCTTCCCCCAAGCTCTGGCAGGCAAGGCTCACAAGCAGAGCAAGTTTGTCTTCCAGATTCAGCTTCAGAGGGTGAGAGAGATACTGATGAGATAGGAACCTCTTTGCCACAATTGCTTCATCGTTTCCAGGTTTAATGTCCTTCTTCCCAACACTTCTTCCAGTAATCTCTTCTTTTTGCAAGGCAGAAGTGAGCAGAGGCAAAATAAATAAATAAAATAAAATAATTAAAGTTAAATTAAATTAAAAAGTGAGCAGAGGCCCCCAGTCAGGTTATGAATGGAGCTGGCAGGCCAGAATGCAGAGCACCCCACGGTAACTCCATGTAAGTGAAAACATCCTGAGAAAGGGTTTCAGCTCTTTACACTCATTTTTAGTCAGCAGAATTCTCTCTCTGAAATAACTGCTTTAAAACTTTTCTGGATTGGGGCGCCTGGGTGGCTCAATCAGTTAAATGTCCAACTCCTGATTTCAGTCCAGGTCACGATCTCAGGGCCCTGAGATTGAGCCCCAAATTGGGCTCCATGCTCAGCGGGGATCCTGCTTTAGATCTCTCTCTCTCTCTCTCTCTCTCTCTCTCTCTCTCCCCCCCCGCCCCTCCCCTACTTGTGCATGCCGTCTCTTTAAAATAAAATCTTTAAAAAAACAAAAAACAAAATTTTTCTGGACTGTGGTCCTGAGTGGTAAGAAAAACCAGAGAGAGGGATCCCTGGTGGCTTAGTGATTCAGCGTCTGCCTTTGGCCTGGGGCGTGATCCTAGAGTCCGGGGATCAATTTCCACATTGGGCTCCCTGCATGGAGCCTGCTTCTCCCTCTGCCTGTGTCTCTGCCCCCCGCCCCGGTGTCTCTCATGAACGAATAAATAAAATCTTAAAAGAAAAGAAAAACCAGAGAGAGAGAGAGAGAGAGTGAAAGAATGGGCTGCTGTTCATTCATTCAACAGATATTCACTGGACACCTACCATGAGTCAGGTTCATTTAAAGTTTCATTTAAGCAATCAATATAATACAAATTAATCACTCTGTATTTACTCATGAAAGCCCTTTTCTGGATCCCAAAATGAAGAAGACACATGAAGAAAGAGCCATAGTCATTCCCAACCATGTTATATTAGTAAGAAATAAACCTTGGTTGCTGCAAAACCACTGAGATTGAAAGAGCCCTTCAACTGTCTCCATTTTGACCACAGTCTGTATTTTCTAATTGACTGAACTTTTCCTTCCAGTTTATCTCTTAACTCAGCAAGAGACTCAGGGGGTAATGCATCCCATGTTGGGAAACAAAAGCACCCCTCAAGCAATAGGAACTACCTTGATGCGAGCAATACCTTGCATGACTGACCTGAAGACAATGATCAACCTGATGTTACTGCCCACCTGCACCTACCCCACAGACTTTCTCCTACATTTTCCCTATATAAACCTACAAGTATTTTCAGTGTTTTGGAGACAGTCGGAGACTTAGTCTACTGTCTTTCTGGTGTTGGCCTTGCTGAAATAAATTCTCCTTTCACCACCATTCCTCTCTCTGCCTTTGGATTTTGTCAGAAGTATGTGACCAAATCTGGTCCATTTGGGACCCCTGGAGCCATGTGCTCTTGCACCCTAGGGCTCGGGCAACAAGATTTTGGAGTCATTTGTTCCACAGCCTAACTAGGGAAAATTAACTAATACAGCAGCCATGATTTTCATCATGCAAACTAGAGAAACAGAAAAGCCTATTTCCATTAAGTTATTTCATGAAGTCTTTGTACAAACACCAGCGAGAACTTGAAAACTAATGAAAAAAAAACTAGCTGGAAGAGCCATTGGAAAATAAGAGTAGCTAGTCTGTAAGGAAGACGTGCTGTTAAATCATCATACGCTTGAAACGTTATTATCTTTATATATACAAATTAAAGCAATGTTTCACGTAAAGCTTTACGTTTTACGAAGCAGTTTTACAATCGTTCTATTTTTACAGATGAGGAAATTGAGGCCCAAGATGGCACAGTGACCTCAGCTCCCCCAAGTATTCTGACTCCAAAGTCTTACTTGCCCAAAATCACACTTCATAGTTGATCCCTGGTGATTAACGCAAAATATTGTTTTTAATCAGGATAAAACTTGAGGTGGACTGGCCTGCATCACCCTGATAAGGATGCCCCTTTTCAGGGCCCCACCCACACAGCGCCCCCAGGACGTCACCCTCCCAGCTCCCACCCCGCCGGGGCCTACGAAATCTTACGTCAGCAGAGCGCGCCTCGCCCCACCCTTTTTCGTCCGCCACCCTTCCCGAAAGGCCAAGCGGAGAGCAGGGGGAACCCGCGAGAGGGGAGCGGACGTGATTGGGCTGGCTGTGTCACGTGACGGCCACGAGGCGTGGGATTCGGCTTCGAGCAGGCGGAGGCGCCGCGCGAAGGGAGGGGTTCGGGCTGGGAGCGGCTAGGAGGTCGGGGGAGGAGCTTGAGCGCCGGCCGCCGTCCCGGCTCTACCAGACATCGTGTCTAGTCTCTGGTTACTGCCGTCCGGCCGCTGGCCCCCCGCGGTACTACGGAGGCCAGTCGCTCGCCCGCCCGCCAGGAGCAGCCGCCAGCTGGGGCGACAGCGGGGGATGGAAGCGGAGAACGCGGGCAGGTAAGGCCGAGCGGAGCGCCGCCCCTCCCCCGCGCCCCTCGCGGCGGCGGCCGGCGGGCGCGCGCACGCACGCGGGGGTCTTTAAATGCCGCGGCCGGAATACAAAGGCCGGGACCGCGCCTGCGCACCGCGGGCCTCCCCGGCCGCTGGCCGCGGGTTCCTCCGGCGGCGGCGGCGGCGGGTCCAGCGCCTCAGCTCTTCCTTCTTCCGGCCCTCCCGGCATCCGCCGGCTTTTAGATGGGTTAGCGAGCAGCCAGCGGTCTCCACTTGATGTTTCTTCGCGGTTCCCGTTCTGGCAGCGTTTCCCTTTAGCCTCCCTTATGCGAAGAGCTGTGAAGATGGAGAATCACACGTATCACCCCTGGAGGTTTTACTTTAGAGTTAGTAGATTTATTGTGGCTTCTCCCCCCCCCCCCCTTAGGTTTACTAAAAGCACCGTGAGGAGCCCCAAGGTAGGTAACACTGCCGTACTAGAGCTCTTGAATTCTGGACTGTGACTAGTACCCCAAGAAGTCATCAGTCCTTTCCTGTGATCTTGGAGGCGAACTTAAGAATCTGCTTTCAGGGATCCCTGGGTGGCGCCGCGGTTTGGCGCCTGCCTTCGACCCAGGGCGCGATGCTGGAGACCCGGGATCGAATCCCACATCGGGCTCCCGGTGCATGGAGCCTGCTTCTCCCTCTGCCTGTGTCTCTGCCTCTCTCTCTCTCTCTCTCTCTGTGACTATCATAAAGTAAATAAAAATTAAAAAAAAAAAAGAATCTACTTTCAGTGTGACCTTTGGGGAGTGTTAGATACGTAGAGAGAACGTTTGGCAAGAGCAGGTATTTCACAATTTGAACTCCTGGCAGAGAACTAAACGAAAAAAATAATTAGGTGGGGTAACCGGGTCTTTAAAAAGAAAAAAGTAATCTACATTGGAGTAAGATTGTTTTAGACCAAATGAATTTTCCTGACTCTCCGTGGCTAATGGGTCCTGGACTTAAGACATTTCGCTTCTCTGGGTCTGTTCATATTTGTAAAATAGGGCATCTCTGATACCGGGTCCTGCATGCTGTGAATCTGGGTTGTATGGAAGGGATTAGATTAAATAGTCTTTAGCGTTTAGGAGAGGTATATGTAGACAAAGTGTGGGCTTGATATCCTGCCTTTGCAGGTCGAATCCTGAAATAAAGTATTGCACTTCCTTCCCAGAAGAACTTTACATTTAAAAGAATTTACTGGAATTTGTGGAACTTGCTCCTACCTCTGTAATCTTACTTCACATCAGCACTGAAACCTGTGTCGAGTCTAACAGCAGATGAATTACACGTTAGAAGGCCTTGCTCACTGTCTCACAGCAAAGTAATAGGTGTCTTATACAATGTTTATCCACAAATTGACATTTCTGTTTTAACTTCATCCTGTGTTATAGACCATTTTTAATTTTGACTGGCAAAGTTTCAATCCCAGGAAATAAAGAGAATTTTGTGTTAGTAGTGTAAGGGCTTTATCCTTGGGGATTCTGAAATGACCGAGGCCCCAGATAATCCCGAGAGTGTCAATATCCACTTTATGCTACTCAAGGAGTAGAATGGAATGGGTATGATGAATTTACTTTTTATTTTGGAAGAGTCATTTTTAAAAAGTCAAGGAAAAAATTCTATTAATATGGGGACTCTTTTTTTTTTTTAAAAAAAAAAAGAAGATAATTCAAGTATCATGAGTATTTAAAGGCTAAACCAGAGAGGAAAAAAGGAAGAAGAGGATACTGTTTCAACTGAGCTCCAGCACAAAAAGGACATTTACCAAATGGGGGATCCCTGGGTGGCGCAGCAGTTTGGCGCCTGCCTTTGGCCCAGGGCGCGATCCTGGAGACCCGGGATCGAATCCCACATCGGGCTCCCGGTGCATGGAGCCTGCTTCTCTCTCTGCCTGTGTCTCTGCCTCTCTCTTTCTCTCTCTGTGACTATCATAAAATACAAACAAAAATAAAAAAAAAAAACGGTAAGTAGGGTGTCAAATTAAAAATGACTGGAAAAGTGTAACACAGACCACTGAAAATACAGAATGGCAATAGTAACCCTCAAATGAAATCAGCCTTTCTAGAAATGTTAGAGACTGGGGTACCTGGGTGGCTTAGTGGTTGAGCGTCTGCCTTCAGCTCAGGGCGTGATCCCGGGGTCCTGGGATCCAGTCCTGCATTGGGCTCCCCGCAGGGAGCCCGCTTCTCCCTCAGCCTATGTCTCTGCCTCTCTGTGTCTCCCATGAATAAATAATAAGTCTAAAAAAAAAAAAAAAAACTGTTAAACCAAGAATTTTTTTAGTTAGATATTGACAACTGGGGCAAGAAAGGCTTGGGTTTTCTGCGTAGTCCACTGGCATGCTATTAGGAAATAAACACTTGGTTCTGGTGTTAATTTTTTATCTCTTGTGTAAAGAAAAATGATTGTAGACTGGGAGTGGCAGAATGAATGTTTTTAAGAGACAAGATCGGGCAGCCCGGGTGGCTCAGCGGTTTAGCACCACCTTCATCCCAGGGCACGATCCTGAAGATCGGGATTGAGTCCCATGTCAGGCTCCCTGTATGGAGCCTGCTTCTCCCTCTGCCTGTGTCCCTGCCCCCCCCCCTTTCATAAATAAATAAATACAATCTCTAAAAATAATAATAATAATAAGAGACAAGATCGATGAGGGCATTTTAGAGAACTTTCAGCTGATCTAAGAGAAATCATATTTCAAATGAGAGGTAGATTACTGCCAGTCCATAAGAACTTGTAGAAAATGGGAGAGGAGCCCGAAGCCTGAAAATAAACACGTGGGATCCCATTTCTTCCAAAGGTGGAGTCTGTCCTCTAATTTATTGACTTTGATCCTAAACAAAATTTTTACTTTTCAGTGGTTTTGAGCATATTTAAAAGGAACCAGTGACCATTAGGCTACAGTATAATTTCAGAAAAAAGTAGGACATACCAAGTTAAGTTAATTCCATTTTGGATAATGATAACTGGACTAGCATCAAGAGGATGATCGAAGGTACCTAGAGTATGTCATCATTTCCTACTGTCTTTATTATTCCAGCAAAATTACTATATACCAGGGAGTTTCAAGTGTTTTGCATGTGTTAACTAATTTAATCCTCATAACCAGTGAATTAGATACAACTATTGGCATTGTGCTGATGTGGAAACTGAAACAAAGAGGCTAAGGAACTTGAGTCAGTAAATGACAGAACTGGAATGTGTACCCAGGCAATGTCCCTCAAAGTCAGCTTCCCTAACAACTGTGCATGTGCTGTACACTTCTCTGTGGGCAGGATGGACTGATGGCTGTCTGGTTAGGTAAACTCCAAACTGGTTTACCGCTGAAAGAATCAAGGGTCAGCTCTGTGTCGTGTACTTCTACCCCATCTTGTTCTTTTCAACAATTTAACAATGTGAGGGTGCTGATAAAATTTGTCAATGACCCAACTCTGGGAGAGGTTTGTGGAATCAATAGTTTGAGTCAGAACCCAGATCTATCCAAACTGGCTGGGATGGTGAATCACCTTTTTTATTCTTTTTTTAAAGATTTTATTTATTTATTCATGAGAGAGACAGAGAGAGAGGCAGACACACAGGCAGAGGAAGAAGCAGGCTCCATGCAGGGAGCCCGATGCAGCACTCGATCCCGGGTCTCCAGGATCAGGCCCTGGGCTGAAGGCGGCGCTAAACCGCTGAGCCACCCGGCTGCCCGTGAATCATCTTTTACCAAAGAGCCACAATCCTGTGCCTAGGTGCAGAAAAATCAGTGATACAGTGGGGAGGTGATAAAAGGGGAGTTCTCATTGACAAAAGTCAATGACAAATGACAAAATAGTGAGGATATTTGAAATCCTACTATATGAAGAATAGTTGAATTAGTTGAGGATTCTGGCTTACTCTAAATCTTTGCGTTTATAGTTTCTGATAGGTTGTATACCACAAATACCCAGTAATGCATGGTGAAACACACACTTCCACTTTGCAATATTAAGTCTAGTCTTTAGGGGATCCCTGGATGGCTCAGTGGTTTAGCTCCTGCCTTTGGCCTGGGGTGTGGTCCTGGAGTCCCAGGATCCAGTCCCATGTCAGGGTCCCTGCATGGAGCCTGCTTCTCCCTCTGCCTATTTCTCTGCCTCTCTCTCTCTGTGTCACTCATGAATGAATAAATAAATAAAAATCCTTAAAAAAAAAAAGTATAGTCTTTAAATAGTTATGGTAGTATTCCATCATACTTTATGTAAAGGTAGTTTCCTTTAGTTGAGCATTTGGATTATTTAGCATTGATTGTTATTTTGTAACTATTCAGTGTTGTATTATTATTATTTAAATGAAAATAATAAAATACCGCTATATGAGTATCCTTCCAAAATTCATATGTTGAAAACTAATAGTCCCACTGTGATAGTATTTGGAGGTGGGGCCTTTGGGAGGTGATTAGGTCATGAGGGTGGAGCCTTCATGAATGGGATTAGTGCCCTTATAAAAGAGGTCCCAAGAGATCCCTCACGTCTTCCATTTTCTAAGGATTTAGTGAGAAGGAACCCATATGAACCAGGAAGCAGACCCTCAACAGGCGCTAAATCTGCTGGTGCCTTGAACTTGGACTTTCCAGCTTCCAAAAGTGTAATAAGTAAAAATGGTGGGGGGTTTTTGTTATTTTTAGTGAGCGAGAAAGCAGGGGAGGGGCAGAGGGAGAGAGAATTCCAAGCAGGCTCCACACCCAGTGCAGAGCCCAGCGCACGGCTGGTCTCAGGAGCCTGACATCCCGACCTGAGCTGAAACCAAGAGTGGGTCGCTTAACTGAGTGGCCTAGTGCCCCTAAAAATTGTTTCTGATGAGCCACCTAGTTTATGGCATTTGTTACAGCAGCCCAAGGGGACTAAGGCAAACGTATTTAGAAAAGAGCAACCTAAATCTTTAAAATGGTGGAAAATAACAGGATTAAAGAAGTTGGAGTTTTTAATTTTAGAGAAAACCTGAGAGAGTTTTTGAAATTCAGC